AGTCTCGCCGCCAGTTCGGGTGGAGCACCAACCTGTAATAATTATCAATAGAAAACTTAATGGTTGGCGTATTTATTCTATTGTATTTTAATGGGTTAATGCGCCGAGTTGAGGACCTTTTGGCAGTCCATGTAGGCTCCGAGAAGGGTGGAGTACTGGGGATGAGAGACGATCTTGGCCTTGATGGTTTCGTCATCGGTTGATACAAGTCGACGGGCGTACGGAATTTGAGAAGAGCTAGCTGCAGCTGCTGGCTCAGACTTTGGCGGCAACTGGTTAGGGTTAGGGTTAGGATTGTAGAAAGCTATTGATGGTGGTTGTTGAGTAGAGGGAGTTGAGGTTGAAGAGGGCAAGTACATGAAGGCAGTTGCTCTTGAGCTTGAGGATGATCCACCCAAGTGAGAGAATGGCTCCATGAGCTAGAGAGATGAAGAATTTGATTGAGTGAGAGAGAGCTGGGGAAGGGAGAATGTTGAAGAGGAAGCCAGGAAGGGAAAGGGGAGGTAGGAGAATGGAAGGGGGAAGGAGAAATGGGATAGGTTGGAGACCTAGCTAGAGAGAGAAAGAGGGGAGAGAGGGTTTAGGGAGAGAGAGACAAGCCATGTCTGGTGCCTTTCTTTTCCGATGTCAAATCAAGTGGACGGGAGTTGTGTTACACTGGCGGTGGAGTTATAACTCTTATTAACTAACACATAACATTGTTTCATTGATTCATTTTTATTTGTTTGTTTGCCTATGACAGTTTTTCTAATCTTTTAACCCTGTGACAGTTTTTGAAAGGCTATTCCGTTATTAAAAATTTGTTTCTTTGTTATCCATTGCGAGTGATCGGGATGGCTAATAAGTTTCAAGATGACTCACACAATTAGATTTGATTTTAAACTGGGTTATTGTAATAAAAAAAAAAAAAGAATAGCTCCTTTGTTTTATAGAGGGGAAACAAATTTACAATCGCAAATATTACAACTAAATTTCTCAAAATTTGTTCGTTAAGAGTTGTTCTGAATGGTAATTTGATTTATGTTTTGTAGAAAAAATTGACAACTTTTTTTTGGTAATGAAATAAATGTTTTCATTTACAAGTGAGTGTTAGGTACAAAGGTAATATTAGGTATGAGAAGTGTACGAGGTGAAACAATTCAAAAGTCATGTCAAAGGCTCATTTCAGCACTTTACTATTGATGGTAGAACTTGACCATCGATCTCGAGAAGTGGCCATCGATGGCAAAAGTGTGTCATCAATGATCTTAAGTCTACAAGCATTCGTATCATTTACGAGCTTCTAAACCATCGATGGTCTCTTGTAACCATCGATGGTCAAGAGGAACCACCTATAGTAAAGTCGGCGATTGTATATTTTCAGATTTGATCGCAGCCGTTCGTCTTTTATAATATCTCCAATCTCTACCACATTTGTGATATTTTTTTACCTATAGGGAAGTTTATATCATTAACAGAGAGAAAGAGAGAGAGAAAAAAAAGAGAGTTATAGGGTTTGATTTGTTAGAGATCAAATTTAAAATTTTGACAACTGAAGCCTCGTAAAACACTTACTCGTCACGCACAACAACTCTTGATTGTTTCAGCGAGTAGAGTTGCCATTGAACTTCTTTGACGACCTACTTTAGTAGGTTGAATTGAGGGTTTGGACTAGCTAAGGCTAGGATTTACTCATTGTGGGAGCTTAGTTAGACGACTGGTTTCGGGTGAATTTCAGGGTACAATCTTATAAGCTCACTAAATTGGGTTTGTAATTAAAGAAAAATGTTTACATAGTGAGGAAGCTCATTCACTAAAAAAAAGAGTGGATCTAGAATTGTTATCTGAACAACTATAAAATCTCGTGTGTTCTTGTTGGTTACTCTTGCTAATTATTATATTGTTTCATATTGTTTATCGCTTTTATTTTATATATTCCGCAGCATACCTTGTGTTTTGGGCAAAAATCAATAGCAATTCTATTCACCTACCTCTAGGTTTGCATCTCAGGTAAAACAAATGGTATCAGAGCCTCATTACCCATCTTTATAATTCACGACCTAGAGTAGAGATGCCTAGTTTAACCGCCGTAATGGCTTTCTCTGAAGGACATACTGTCAACCAACACTCGCTTCTTAATGGATCAAACTATACCTATTGGAAGGAATGCATTAGTCTTCTTGTTTTTCACTAATTTTGAAATTTGGAACATAGTTGAGCCCAGTTATAGACAATCCACTACCATTATTAATGAGATCACCCTAGTTACACCTAGAGATAAGTGGAACCCTGGTGATAAAAAGCTTTACTCTTCAAATACAAAAGCAATGAATGCTTCTAATTGTTCTTCAACTACTGAAAAATTTAATCGTGTCTCTAGTTGCTCTATTGCACAGGAAATCTGAAATATTTTGGAAGTTACATATAAAGTAACTTCATAGGTAAAAAAGACGTAACTTACAATGCTTGTGAGTAAGTACGAAAATTTAAAGAGAAAGGTCTCATAGTAGAGGTTATTAGCTCAAGTTCTAAAAGTGAGAAAGATAACAATGTAGATCAAATTGTTAAAGCTTTCAAATTCTTCCTTAAATCAAAAGATGGTCAAAACTTCCTACAATACAAAGGGGGTCATTACACAAGCAAGGAGAAAAATATAATTCTAGTGATTCTTATACTGAACCAACTCGTTTTCAGTGTAGGAAAGCCAATCATTTAAGGGGGAGGTGTCCGTTGAACAAAAAAGACTATAAAAGAAAGTGTAAAAGTTCCAAAGTGACTACATGGGATGAGTCAGAAAGTTGATTAAACGAAGATGAAAAATGAGCACATTGTTATCTCATGTCTAAAGATAGCAATTCAGAAGAATCTGAGCACGAGAGCTCTGATAGCCACGTATGCTCTACATATGATGACTTAAATTCTAAATGTAATGAAATGTTAAGTCAATTTGAATAACTTGCTGAAAAATATAAATTTATTAAAAAAGTGATTTCAAATTTAATGAAGGATAATAAATTATTGAGTAATAAAATTGAAAATTTTTCTTTAGAATTGAATACATCTAACAATGTAAGTAAAAATATTTGTTAAATGCATACAATGTTTCATGTATAGAGGCATAAATTCTGATTTATCCAAGTAGCTAGCTAAAAAATCAAGTGAAAATAATTCTTAGTTGCTAGGGTGAATTAACTTTTATGTAAGTTGTCTTCTGGAAAAAGAAAGTTTAAAAGTAGATGCGCTTCTATAATTTCTAAAAATGAATAACTAAAGTTTAAAAATATTAATTTGAAAAAAGCCATGAAAATATTTTTATTGGGTTGATTAAACTCGATCCTTTCTAATCAATTTTCTAAAGGCTTAAACACGATCCTTTCTAACCAATTAAAACTAAACTTAGGTATTCATATTTAGAAAAAAATATAAAAAGTTTTAATTTTCTTTTATCAAAGAAAATAACTTAACTCTTTTTGAACTCATTTTTAATTCATCTTCTACTATTTATACTTTATGTGGTAGAATGGACCATATTTTAATAAATTATTATATGCAATATAAAGTAAAAATAATTAAGCAGATTTAGGTACCTAAAGGCACAATTACTAATTAATGTGTACTTATGTGGATATTTATGTCACACATGTCTGTTCTTCTATAGGTGTGTAAGAAGGCTAAGGAACAAAACAACATCTATTTTGGTAGCTCAAGGCACATTCAGAAAATAAGAATATGTTGCTTAGCGTAACCAAGAAGAAGAATGGAAATTTTTTTTTGCTAATACATGCAAAGAGGGCATCTTTAAGCAACCGATGATTTATTGTAAATGTGCAACTTTCATAAACGATTATTTTAACAAATCTTATTAAATGAGTAGTAAATGTATATTCTATAGCCACTCCTATTTGTATATGCATCATTTGCATTTAATTTTTCTTTTCTTTTCTTTTTGTTTTTTAGTATTTTTTATTATTTTCCTTTCTCTATTTTCTTTAAAAAATATGAAAAATGAAAGAAATATTTTTTTTTGTTTCTTAAAAAAACACTTGAACATGTCTATGTATATGTTTTTATAGGATTGATTCGGATAGTTTTCTATTCATTGTTATATAGGCTTGCGTTGAAACATATAGTTCACATGTGATTTCAATATATACGTAAGTATTTCTATACACAATGGTCAAATGATGGTATGATACATTTACAAAATATGTTTCATATATCATTGTGCACATCTGTATTTCATACTTATCATGTTTTGTATTGTGGAATAGTAGTGGAGGACTAAAATATCTTCTTCCTAGATTTTTTCAAGTTGTATCATATGCTTTTTGGGCATCTTTGACTAGGCTAAAACACGAACTCATATTTACAAGTATAAAAGTGCACCTTGTAAGCACTAAAAATGCCAAGAAACTAAGGAGGGTCGAACTTCACTACAAACACGATGAGGGTCGTCACAACGATGAACCTCAGCTTAATCAATAAAGTTTGTCTTAGCCAGATGAGACTCACAGTGCATCGTTCCTCAAAGTCGAAGTTCGTCATTTGAGATGAAGTTCGCCTAGAAACGAAGTTCGTCATTAAAGACGGATTTCGCCTAGAGACGAGGCTCTCAATGCTTTATCCTTCAGGAGACGAAGCTCCTTCAGAAAATAAAGCTTGTCAGTGAAGATAAAGCTTTTGTAGAAGACAAAGTTTGTCAGAAGAAGTCCACGAGGCTTGCTACACAGCTAGACTCGACCATTAAAGATGAAGCTCACTAAATAGCGAAGCTCGCTTTGTTAGACAAACCTCGCTGTGTATTGAGGCTCGTCTCATCTCACGAACCTCGCCACACAGTGAGACTCGTCTTTCCAAGTGAAGCTCAACTCTAATGGCCTTGAAGACCCAGTCAACCCATGTTGGCTAAATTCAAGGAGTCAGTTATGCTCCTTAACCCCACGATCAGTGCGTCAGTTATGCGCCAGAGGCTTATAAATAGCCGCAAGCAGCTACAAAGAAACCAACGGAGTTAGCTCAATCAGAAATCAAATTTTTGGCAAAGTTCGCACTCAAGCTTGGAGAAGCTCTTTTGGGGATCCGAACCTTGGTTCTTGTGATCTAAAGTTAGACACGCAACGACTCAATAACTCAACATAGGCTAACTTTCTCCTCAAATTGAAGCGATCTTGCTCCGATCGTCAATGAGAAGTAAGCTTGATGTGAGCATCGAGTGAGGCATCTCATCACCACACAAAACCCACGTTAAACAAAGGAGAAGTTAAATCAACCTTCTCCTCTTCTGTACTTGAGAAAGAGCGATTGTAAAGAAATTTTTACCAGGCGATAGAATCTCGTCTCACAACTAAAGCAGTTAAGGGGACCAATCAATTCAATTTTTTTGGGACCCTACAGAAGATGACGACCATAATGAGAGATATTATTTTCTTCGAAGAAATGATTGTGGCGCAGTCGGACAAGATCGCCATGGGAACTAACGTCGAAACTCTCATCAGCGAGTTCGATCAATCCAAATACAAGGAGCTCCTCTCCTCCCATACTCCAAGTCCCACTAAGGCACGCAAGTAACGCAAAGTCTCTCACGAGACTCTAGCCAATTCGACTTTTGACAACTCAACACGAGTTTGCCTTGAGGAAAAATCCTTTCCTCTGAC